TTGAGCACTAGAGTCATCACAGCCCAACTCGGATTTGTTCCCTGATGGCTAGAATCACCACACACAATAGAATAAATTTCCTGGACTTTTATATATAGATGGTCCCAGTAATCAATACAATTCAGTTTCGCAAAACATGATAGTTCACCATTATAAACATGAGACTATTTCAAACAATTTACTGAATGCAAAGTTTACACATGTTTCAGAAATAATTTTATTCCATTGATAATATAATAATTTTATCAAAACAGTTTAGTCCTGAAACAACAATTTAATTTTCTAACAGTTCAGGGTAAGGGAACATTTATAAAAATATGTAACATGCAACTACTAACCTGAAAACGGAATAATATAATCCTCGAATAGAGTATAAAAGTCCAACTAGTGCCCTGAACCAAGTATGAAAACTACACGCCATTACTAATTTAAAATACTAAAAAGAATAAGAAACTAAGTAACTAAGTAACTCGAAGCTAAAGCGCACTAACACGGCTCAACCCAACTCATCGTTACTCTTAAATAATACCTAAGTTCATGTTCTTCAAGGTCTAAAATTACCCAAAACATGGGTTTAGATTAAAACTTAATTAAATATGACTTTGAGATAAAATAGAATTTTAAACAGGTTTTCTCAATCTATTCTCTAACTTTGAAAATTAAAAACCCACTCCATGCTGTTAAAAAAATTCCAAAACCCTCCAGATATCAACTAATATATCCTAAGTTTCAAACCCAATTGGTTTAACTTGATTTGCTTATCAAAATAATTTTTTACAATTAATTATGTCCAAACAGGTCGCTTACTGCAGCACTTTAAACAAATTGACGGTTCTCTTAATATACACAAGCAATCAATGCAAGGCCAAAAATGTAAGAAACTAGACTCGTAACCGGTTCTAATGACACTGATTTGATAATTTTCAGATTTATACTCAAAGAGAACGACACTTCCGAAGTTACTATTAGTACTAATTTTCTGGACAGATTTGAACGCATCAATTTATATAGTTTTTGACTCCCAAAAATTATAAGAAAATTTTGGTATGAAATTCAATATGTAATTAAGCTACTGTTAAAATTTCAACTTAAAATTCGTTCGTTTGATATATTTCCTTCACCTCTATTCATGATTGTACTATATAGCAAATAACATCAACAGTGAATATTAAATATTAGATGAATATTAACCCCTCCCCTTGGTACCATCTCCAACTCCCAGAGTCAATCCACGGCTAGGACATACCAACATACATAAAGTAATATACATAGAATGTTTACCTATTTATGAGAGTTCCTTTCCCTCAGATTTCTTCAACGATTCTCCTCAATTCTTTGCTACTCTCTGTCTCCCCCTCTCACGGCTCACGGTAACTTGGAGAGGAAAATAAATAATAAGAAAAGAAAATATACTTACAACCTATGTTACCAGAAAATGCTAATATCCTAGTGAATTACGTATTGGTACGCACGTTCCAAAACATGGTATATTTTCGTTCCAAAACGATAAATTTAGTGATCTAAAGCGATCCTGAAATTTTTTTCCAATACATTTCCTTAAATGTTACCTTTAGGAGAAAAAAAAATCAAATATATGAACTAAAATTTAAGGCGAGTTAAGTTTTGACAAGACAAAAAATCAAATATGGGTCATAATTTTCATAGAAATGATTTGCTACATGAAAGAACAAGAAAAAATTTTATTGGATACTTAATTGTTAAAAGAAAATTACTCTAGAAGTACCTTAAATTCTTAAGTGTAATACTATGAAGCACGGACACCTCTTCGAGGGCTTCGTACCAGTGTCGGACACATGTCGGACACGGACACGCGTCAGATACACGGTGGACATGTGTCCGACATGCAGCAGAGAGTGTCCCATTTTTTTTAATTTTTTTTTACATCCGGACACGTTTCAGGCACATTATAGACACTTTCGGGACACGTTCGGGGGGTAATTTCACAATTTACAACATGTTTTTGGGGTCGATTTGTAAATAAGTAAAAACAGAGCAATGTCTGCCCTAACTCGATTCGAACTGAATAGAAAGGGAGAACAAAAGAGAAAGGGAGAGAAAGAGAGACCTATCGCTCGTCGTTTGTCTGCGCTCCTCGTCGATCGTCTCTTCTCGTCGGTCGTCTCTCCTCGTCGGTCGTAACTCGTGTCTCGTCGTCACTCGTTAAGGTACATGTTGCTCTTCTTCATTCTTCTTCTTCTTCATTCTTCTCTCTCTCAGTCGCTCTCTCTCTCTCTCTCTCCCACCCTCTCTTTTTGATTTTAGTTTTTCTTCTTCTATTTTTTCTTTTATATAGTGAGTTATCTTTTTCTTTTATAATGAGTGATCCCTCTCTTTGTCTTCAAGTGATCCGTCTCTCTCTGTCTTTTATTTTTTTTTCTATTTTCTTTTTTCTCTCAGCTGTGCCTATATTATTTGAGTATTTTTTTTTGTGATGTTAAATCAATTAAATGTTTATTTTTAATAATTTTAATAGTGTTATTTTGTATATTTTATTACCTTTTAATGATTTTTTTATAATTTTATGACATATAATAAATAAAATTAATTATATATATTGAACGTGTCACTCAACGTTTGTCGTAGTTCCCCATTTTTTTGAAAATTTGCTTGTGTTCGTTGTCAAGTCCGCTGTCGTTCCGGCGTGTCCGTGCTTAATAGGTTCCTGTAATATATACAAGTCTACTCTTATCATATCACATTTTAGAGAATATATAGCGGATCACGTTCCAGTTCTCGTTCCTGTGTTACCAGAACGATCCACGTTTTAAGTAACATTAGCTTACAACTAGGTTTATGTATCTATATAACAAATTCAGAAAACACTCTGTTAAATTATTTTATTTTTGTTTTGTAATACCTATGTCCTATGAGTCTAATTAAAATAACATTATATTTGATCAATATATTTGTACACTTTTTTTTATTACACATATATTATTAAAACCTCATATTTTCATTATAAACCTACATCATAAATTTATTAAATTTAACTGTAATTTAAAAAAACATTCCAATAATTAAATAAAATACAACTTAAGATCAAAATATGCTTACTAATTTATTCCCCTTTTTTTTCTTAATTAAGTACTAATAAAATTTAATTCACTTAATTAAATAATAGTTTAAAATTTCAGGTTTTTACACAATCCACAGACACAAAAACCACCTCTATAGCTAGCAACCGTCATCAGCGTCTTTCTAACTAAAACCGTATTCTTGTGATTTAAATATTTGATGATATGTATTATAGTCGGTGATACATATTATTTTTTTGGTTTCTCGATATTGATACATCAAGTATTCCAATTGATACATATTTGACCTTTTGATTTCAATTAGTTGATACCATCCAACTATATATGGTGTAATAATTTAGGATAAAAAATCCAAATTACCCCTTTGTGGTTTGGCCCCGTACATTTTGCCTACAATGTGTTCGGCCGAATGAAATTTTTGCTCCTGTTGTTTTCTTCTCCATACCCTACAAACCTTAACGCAAACAGCCAGCCCTAGCCCTGACCTGCTCTCCCATTTTAGACCTCTCCCTCCCCTCCCCAGCCCCTCGTCGTGATCCCCTCTCCCATTCTCATCCTCATTTCACCCACCATATATAATTGTATATACATTGTTTGTGTATATGATATGGTTAAATTGAAGTTTAATTAAAATTAAAAAAATAGGTAAATAAAAATGATTTAGTGTTTAAATAAATGTTTAAGTTAGATATTATATTTATAGTTTATGTAATGAAAAAACTAGGGTTAAGTAAATAGGAGATAGGTTAAGTAAATAGGATTTAGTGTTAAATAATTCTTAAGCTTATAAATTTATTTTTAAAATAATTGGTAGATTTAGGGTCAATGAATTTGATTTGGAAGTTATTTTATTTTTATTTTTTAAATAAAAGAGACTAAGAATAGGAGGAAAAGGAATAAAAACATAGGTTGTTGAGGTAAACTTTACACGACTTTGCAGAGTTGGACACTTAACACCTTAGTATGAAACCTTATGGATAGCGTCCGGGGCTATTTTTTTGAATAATATTGTTGGTTTAAGCGCTTACATACCAAACCACAAGTGCATTAAATTGATTTTCCCCAAAAAATTAGGAAGCAATGATTCATAGTCTCTAAAATTGGACTCTAACAATGGCTTTAATAGATGTGCATGGAGCAAAAAAAAAAAAAAAAAAAAAACAACACAAAACATCAAATCATTCATGAGTGGAGTCCATGCCGCATAAGTAGAGCTCTATTAGAGCTCTACTTTTAGTTGCTCTTAAACATTTTTGAAAATTATGTGCTATATAGACCAGTTCATAAGTCTTTTAGTCGATTCAGACTTGATTCATTACCAATAAAGCCAAGTAGCCAGCTCAGAATGTTGACCAAAACGCTTTTCCCAGTTTAACAGATTTTTTAAAAATTTAAGACTGAATCACCTGATATCTCTCGCTACACCAAATTCGATATTTTAAAACCGTGATTCCTATGTGAGATTGTGACCTTTGTGAGTGACCAAAACTGATTCATGCAAGCAAACAACAAAAGAGAAGACTGTCTTTCTAGCTATTTTTTGTGAGAAATAATAATAAGTTTTTATAAAGAGTTCCATGCTATTCATGGTTCAATTTTGCGCTGAGAAAAGGAATCAGTTGTTATTTTTTAGCAATTAATGCTATCTAATTGATAGCCAATCTGTATTTGTTGGTATTTGTCGGTAACTTCGTTATGGATTGATTAGTTTTCTACTATGCTTTGGAGTAATGTTCTATACCTTATGTTTACCCGCCCCTCATTTTTTTTTTTCCTTCAATGCTTGCTATATATCTCTGTTGATATCATGGAAAGGTATGGACAATGATTTTTTAACAAAGAAATCAATCTTAAATATCAACAGTGATACAAAATGGTGACAAAAAAAAAAAAAAACCAGGTATAGCCATTTTCATTTTTTTATTTAATTTTTATTTCATGCAGCTCAACAGGAAAGTTTGAGCCCGGTGCCGTGGGGAAAGTCCAGAAAGTTTTGAGCCTGGCGCATGGAAAAGATCTTATTGCGGAATTCCTTTAGGATTTGGCGCAGACGATTATTCATGGCATTTCAAGTCCTTCTTTCAGAAAGCATGGAGGTGGCAAGGTGGAGGTGGTGCGTGGAAAGGTGGCGGGGATGTGGACTAGGTGCGAGGTGGATGTGAACAGCCAATTGACGATATCTTGAAGTGGCATTCCTCCTTTCCATTGTGCTGATGTGGTATTACGACTAATTCGCTTCTGGGTCGATGCGATGTTAGCTATACTACTACTGCACACCGCCTTCTCAGTTTTGCTTATTCATAAGTCTGCAGAATGCAGAAACCAAAAACAAAGAGGCTGACACGAAAATTAGTATATAGAGAGGATTGTTTAGAAGTGGGATCCTTCTGTCCATTCATATATTTTGTGTCAATTGTGTCTGATTTCTGTGCTTTTGGGACTTATTTGACCGACGTGCGTGGCTGTGCTTTAGATTGTCATAAAACAGTAGACAGTTTTACCAAAAGGGTGAACGATGCCACCTCTAAACACTGATGGTTTGTATTTTTTTTAATTTTACTTTTTTTTTTTTATTTATTGTTTTTTTTTTTATTAATGCCCTAATATCGCTTGGACTCTTTAGATTGTGTTTAAGTCCATTGGGGACTTATTGCTGTTGCTTGGGTGTTTGTTCACCCCTTTAGCGTTTGCTTGCTTACAGAAGAGCTTAACTCTTTGGTTGTTATTCACCCAAAAAAACTTAATGATGTGTCAAATAAAAATTAATAAATAACAATACTTAATAATAATATAATAATAATAATTAAGTGTCAAATGTCGTTTGTTGCATGGGTTATTTGAAATACTTAAATTGATTCAAATAATAATAAAAAAATTAAAATACAAATAGTAGCTAAGAGACTAGATCAAGTGGGCATCATGCCATATATTTTTTTTTCGCTGGAAAAAATGTTTGAAAACACACTTAATTTATCACTCCTAAAATCATCTCTAATGATTATTTTGATAAGTGTCAAATTTTAATTTGATCAAACCATTTCATATTTGGCGTCTAATCTCATTATCACATTATTAAAAGTTATTAAGAGTAATAAATTAAAGAGATGTAACATTGTTATCTTGTTTTCTTGATCTTATGGCATTGCCTCCTTTCTCTTTTATCTACTATTTTTCACTTTCATAAAATCTAAAACATGGAACCAAGATCATATTGCTTACATAAATCATCCTCTAAGACTCTGTTTGGGTTTGAAAAGATTTGACGAGAAAAAAATAAAAAGGCAAAAGGGAAATAGAAAGAAAATGAGAAAGAAATTGTAGGATTCACATTTTAAAGTTATGTTTGGTTGAATTGAAAATGGAAGAAAAGAAAAGAGTCTAAGTGAATCAAAAGAAAGATAAAAAAAAAGTGGAAATTGGTATTTCCTCTCATTTCTTTTTTTGATGTGCTTTCTATTATAACCAACCAAACAATGAGAATTGGCATTCCTTTTTCCTTTCCCATTTTCTCTCATCAAATCATCTACCAACATAGTCTTGTCTAACCATTTTATTACACTACCACCCTTAGGCTTGTGGTTGGTTGGAAGATTTGATGAGAGAAATGGAAAAAGAAAAAGGAAATGCAATCTATTTTTTGTTTGTTATAATGGGAAAAATCTAAAAACCTCTCGAGAATTCGATTTCGTGATATGTTTTCAAATTTTAAAACAATGAAATATCATGCAATCAAATAAATCAACAATAAATTGCACAATGATTAACGTGAAAAAATTACAATGAAAACACCCTCTAATTGTGATTAAAAAAAAATCACAAGTTTAAAACTACCCAAACAATAATGCAATCACTAAGAAGCAAAGGAGATTACACACGAAGTGCCCTTAATTACTTTAGCAATTTATGCCCAAATAAACAAACTCCATGTGCCTTCTTCCCCACTGTTTTTCACCTGGTCGGAATTGCTTTTGCCTCAATCATTGAATCTACAACGCCATATGTCAAAATCCTCACGACGATAAGCCACTTCGAAATCCACCCAAAGCTTTCGAAGTCCAAAATTTTCGAAATTCACCAAAGAACACCTCTCTCTTTTATGAATGAAATAATAAAAATAAACCCCTTGATGATGTCAATATAATCTCGTAGATCCATCAATCACTCTCAAATCATGAAGAAAACCAATATATAAACACCCTCCGGTATAGAAAACCTTGGTAGCTCTCCTCTTTGAGAATTTGGACGGGTTAAACCCTAAAAATAGCAAACGGTGCACTTTATACTAAACAGAGTTGCGAAGACCACTCAAGCGCATACTTTACCGCTCCAGTGGTGTGAGTAAAGGCGGTGCAAACATATAGGCCAACCGCTCAAGCGCAACATCCACCACTAGAGCGGTAAAACTTGTCTCCCAGAAATTCAGACACAAGCAGAGATACGAATGACCGCTTGAGTAGTCAAACAATTTTGGCTTTAGGTTGAATTCGCATCTAAACACTCACAGCCTTATTGAAACAAAAGAGCGAATAAAATCACAATTAAAAGGAATTTTGTCAAATAGGATTACTAATTACAAATACCTAACAAATGGAAAACACAAGAAAAAAGGAAGTGAAAGAGAAATGCAATCCCACATTTTATATTTTAAGACCGTGTTTGGCTAAATGATTTGATGAAGGAAATGGAAAGGGAAAGAGAAAGAGAAATAGAAAGAAAATGAGAAAGAATTGATAGAATTTGAATTCCAAACTATGTTTGGTTAAGTTGGGAATTAAAAAAATAAAAAAGTCTAAGTGAACCCAAAACACAAAAAGTGGGATTGCATTTCCCTCTTCTTTTTTTTTTTTTTTTTCTTTCTTGTGTTTTCCACTATAACCAAACAAGAAGTGATATTATATTTCCTTTTCCCTTTTCATTTCTTTTATCAACTCCTCCAACCAAACACAGTCTAAGCTATTTTCTTTCTCCATTTCCCAACTCAACCAAACATAACTTAAAATTCAAATCCTATCAATTCTTTCTTCTTTTATTTCTATTTTCTTTTCCCTTTTCATTTTTCTCATCAAATTCTCCAACAAAACACAACGTTAATATTTTTACTATTCATTACTTTTGCTTTTTTGCTTTTGTCTTTTCTAATTGTTTTGATCCAAGTGATTGAAATTAACTTTAATATTAAAAAAGCACATTCATGTATTCTCTTTTGTTTGTTGATAAAACAAAACAAAACAAAACAAAATAAAACGTTTACAGATTAGCCTTCTCGACCAAACTTAATTGACTCCCTTATTCCTCCCCCCCTTTGTTTTCTTCCCATACAACATTTATTCCTCTGCAAATTTTTTTGGGTACAATATTTCTCTCTCCCTTTGATTATAAAAAAAAAAAATTGGTAGAAAGTGAAAGTAAAAGAGAATGAAGTGAAAGAAAAGAAATAGAAAAGAAAATATATTTTCTTGCAAGCATTTGATTAAGATGAAAATTTTGTAAGAAAAAGATTTAAAATTTAAAAATTTAGTTATACATAACTCACACATTTAATTTTTCTTGTGTTTTCTTGTGGTTTTTTTGCAAAAAATAAAAAATTAGTTACAATGCTAATAAGAGTTGTACAAGAAAATTAATTTTCTTATACTTTCCACCACTTTAAGCAAAATAAACTCATAGAAATTAAATTTTCTTCTATTTCTTTCAATTTATACCTATTCCATCCTAAACAAACTGAGAGAAATGTTATATGTTGGGTAAATTACACTTAATAACCTTGCATTTTTATCCAAAACTTCTGTTTGGTTTAATTTTGAAATTCATTTTGGAAGATAAGTTTTTGAAAAGAGTTTTAAAAATTTAAAACTTGTTTGGTAATGAGTTTTGAAACTAGTTTTTGAGTCATATATTTTGAAAGTAATTTTTAGAAATTTACAAATTAAAAACTTGTTTGGTCAGGAGTTTTCAAAATTAGTTTTTAATTAGAGTTTGGTCAAGAGTTTTCAAAATTAGTTTTTAATTAGAGTTTTTTTCAGTCTTGTATTTTTTTTGTCTTATAGTCAACCTTTTACAATACGGATTTTTGGTGAAACCCCCCTTTTGGGCCTTTTTATTAGGGTAAAGGATAACCCAATCAATTTTCTTTCAAAAAGCTCCTGAGTAGGAAATGCCTACCTTAATAAGGACATTTTACAATTTCTATTTTTTTTTATCACAATATTGCCCTTCTATATATACGTATCATACATTTGAAATATTTGAAATCTGAGCTGAAGATCTTGGATGAACGAAATCGATGAAGACGATCTCCAAATCTAAAGATCTCGTAGCTAAAAATCTCTCACTTAGTCAACAATAGACGATCTCGCCGCCGACGATCAACACTCTCAATTAAACGAGAATTTCATTAAGATTTGTAATTGTTGATCGAGTTTTAGAAATTTTTCTTCTCAATTAAATATGTTGATTTGTTGATTAATTTGTTTTGTTTTTTTTTTTTTTTGGATTTATTTTTGTTGTTTTTTATCTAATTTCATTTGACAGAACCAGAGTAAACTTTTACTGTGGTTCTATTGCTCTGTTTTTTGTTTCAGATAATGAGAGTAAAATTTTACTCTGGTTCTATTGCTCTGTTTTTTGTTTGAGAGAATTAGAATAAAATTTTACTCTGGTGTTAGAATGACAGTAAAATTTTGCTGTCAAGAGGTGGTCATTGCCAAATACTTCAGCCGCCACAAACTCTACCTCCGCTTTTTTACTTTTGTGCAGAGTAACATTTTACTTTTAGATTTAGAATCTAAGAGTAAAATTTTACTTTTATACAGAGTAAAATTTTACTTTTGTGCAGAGTCTAACTTTTTACTAGTTTTTCAAAGTAAAATTTTACTTTTAATTTCAGAGTGTAACATTTTACTCTTATTCAGATTAAAATTTTACTTTTATACAGAGTAAAATTTTACTTTTAAATTTAGGGTGTAACATTTTGCTCTTAGATTCAGAGTGTAACATT